CATGACCTGAGCTTCAGAATCTAACAACTAACATTGTACATCACTTCGCTATACCCTTAAGTCATGCCTTTTGTTAAAAGTTCATGACAACGAACGCACATCATGGATTTCAGTGTTTAACATTCCTTCTATCTTTTACAGTCCTTCGTCATAGTTTTTGGTGAACGCGTCGCGTTTCAGGTAAATTAAAGCATGGGTTACACCCCGAGTTTCGTAGAGCCTCGACCTTCTTGTCGGCATACCCCTTTGTCATAATACTTGTTAAAAGTTCAGTTCAACTAAATTACAGAATGGGTCTCAGCCTGTGTTTCAAAGTTTTAAAAATGGATAGTGTCCTTCATGTTGGAGCGCGCTCGTCTCGTTTGAAGACTGGTGAAATTTTCTATTTTGAAACTGTATTGTGTAATATATAAAGCATATGGCATCACAAAAACAAATCCGTCACAAAATACACGCTCACGCACTTGCTTTATAAGAAAATATGCCATGCACAGAGCGATTTGAATTCTACATACGCTGAGTAGTTAGGAGGAAAATATATATATATATATATATATATATATATATATACTTGAACTACAGCGGCAAAGTGACTTATATGTTTCTGTCAAATATTTCATGGAAGAAATCTTAATATGCCGGGCTTCCCTAAAGTTGGTTTTTCCTTATAAATATCTATTTGAGTCGGGCTGGGGAGAAATCAGAAAAATATCGCCGCAGTCATATTGTTCTCTGCCCTCTTCACCTTCATCATACTAATAAGGGAGCGTTCAGATAAACCCATGCTACAAGCTGGGTCGATTCAACTCACGGGAGATTCTCCTCATATGCAATCGCTGTACATTGGATTTAATGCCTGTCACGCCTCCTTGAGCGCCTAGCGGGTAATAAAGCCGAACGCGCACCAAAGTTAATTACCCTGGCCACCAAGGTAGCGCGGCAGACAATTAAGCTGATTACACTGATTGCAATTAAGCGAGAATTCCCAGCAGAGTTGGATCGATCCAGCAGGTGCAATGTTTGAATCTGAAAGCGGTCTAAGCTGCAGAATGTGGCCCCTACGTGAACAGAGTCAAATCACAGCAAAAACGGACGGTAGAATAGGCTTTTCATTGTCTCTGGTATAAAGATAACATTAAAAAATAATAAATCGGTCTTTAGGAGACTAGGTTTGACGTTTCCATCTTTGAGGTAATTTTGTTTGTTTTAAAACGGCTAACTAATTTTATCAAGAATAAGAGAGCTATACCTTGGGTCAAAGACAACTCCCATGTAGCGAAGGAACTGCTGGGTTTATTGTTATTTTAATATTAAAATATTCTTACTACGAACGGCCTTAAGGCTGAGATGGGATGTAGAGAGTGTTACAATGAGGTTATGGAATGTGGGTAAACCTCCTTCACTTGATATATAATGGTCAAAACAAATAGTGCGCCTCATCTTTGCCCTATCCTCTGATATTTCAGGGGCTTCTAAAATAGTACATAAAAATGAAGACTGTCATACAATTATTTTGTAACAGACTATTAGTGGACCCTACGGTCAGAGAGTACACTGGGTCTAGGTAACCATTTCAACTTCCGTGTCCATACATGTACAATTATATCGACATGGGGATAAGGAAATCTAAAGTATACATGAGCTAACTACTTAGGGTGAAAAATAATACATAGGTTTGAACAAATTTGGCAAAATGGTTTGCCTGTTATTTTGTCAAATTATTTATGGAGTAAATTGAGTTTTGACTGTGTTTTGGTCATTATTTATTACTTAAGGCAACCTGAAAAAAAAGAGGAAGGGAAAATTTTAAAGCACTAGCAACGCGTATAACCAAAACCATACCCACAGGAAATATAACTCACCCAAAGGCGCCCATCCACCAAGGTTTTCTATCATTTTCTCAGCGGGTTCTTTTCCAAGTTTATCTATCGCCTCCGTGTCCATACAACTCTGATAAAACTGCTTAAATTTTCTCTCCGATGATAACTCGCCGTCTCTCATAATCGGCGTTTCTAGCATGGTTTTAAGGGTACTTTTGATGGTCTCTCCCATGGTGCTGTCTATCCCCCAGTAGCGTTGGTCCGCCGGAATCGGGTTCTTTTTCAGCCATCCCCCGCAGGAGAACTGCCAAAAATCTTGACAGGGATCGACGCTGGGATCTAGTCCAGAGACGAGGACATTGGCCGCCCTAATACATTCGGGGGTTAGGCACGTTTGGGAGAGCGCGTCCGGGGATGGAGTAGTCCCCACCCTCGCGTCCGTATTCCCTCCTCCGTTGATCCTCTCGTTCACTGCGCCGCCAATGCGGGCAATACCTGCAACTTCTAGAGATAGTATAACAATGAGTCCTATAATCACTACTCCAGCCAAACATAACGCGAAGATGAAGTGTTTTCGTTGTCTCTTCCACTTTCTAGGATTTTCATTATATTCTTCTATCACCAACTCCGCCTTGCTACCAAACGCCATTGCCTATATTGGACTAAGTTGTTCTACCGTGGTAAGGTACGTGTGTATTCACGTGGGGCCAGTCTTGCCTCTTGGCTTTTATCATTATACGGCCACATTCACACGCCACCCTTTCGGATCAGTCCTCACTCAACTTAAAAAGTTACCTATGTTTATTAAAGCTATGATAGAACGCACCCAGGTTTGTTCCAAGTTACGTTGGCAGACGTTTGAACAATTAAGCGTGTGCCGACGCAGCAAAAATCCATCGGTTAATATTCCTCTGGTTTAGCGAAACTACGCGTAATCCTACGTGGCGACGTAACGTCAGTCGGATCGACGTTCTACCGGCCTAGCTCAGCGAAATGTGAGCGTTACCAAAACAATCCGTACCTGTATTTTGGGTTGAGATATTTCTGTTGCAAATAAACCCCTTCTCAGTACAAGCACACCTAAAATAGAAAGTCACTTTGACATGTGCTGTGCAGCCCCCACCCAAAATAGCCGTCTTCTGCGTTGCACCTGAAACGCTGCAATTTGGTTCAACGCTACAATTTGCGTGTGCAGGGCTTAATTGCCATCCAGATTTCTATCCTTTCTTACTTACACAGTCTCTTGAACGGTATAAGTAGCCTGGTGTATACGCGCCTTTTTATTTGTCGTTCAAAGTTGCCGACTTAAGCGTTATCGCCCTGCGTTTGTATGACGCCGAGCCCCCGCATGCCCCCCGTGAAGTATTTACGTCACTTTGCCCCATTATCATACCACTTCAAAAGAAACGCCGCCGTCTCCCGTGTGGCGATCTACGTGGATACTTTAAGTTAAAGGTGAACAACGCGCGTTAGCACGTTATACTAGTATTTGGGAAGCTTAAGAAGGAAAAATTCCTGGAAATTGCAGCAGTTTTCTCTTTATCAAGATCAAGGGCGCACCTATCGCAGAGCGTACAGGGAATGATTATTTACTGTTTCAAGCTGCCCTTTTCTGAAAATCGAAGTCATAACTTACAAGTCGGCTTTATATCGTTAATTTGTGGACGGTTTTGGATATGCTACCTGTGCACCTTAGTGAATATGGGAAAAGTGCTGAAATCGTCACGAAAATGAAAAAAAACTTACATAACTTACATAGTGTACTCTTTTAAGAGTAAAACAGGCTGCTTTGCACATTTACTTGACAGCTTATACGTAACAACTCACAGATTTCAAACGGCTATACAATACTTATTTCAACTGACAAAAATAAAACCGGCTCTGTAGTAGTTGAGTTGACGTCCTCAGTGGCCTTCAGCTGACAATTATCAGAACATCTCCGACCTTACTGCTGTACCAACTGGAACGTAAGTGTCATAGACGACGGGTAGATGTCCTAAAAATACGCCGCGGAATTCGCCCTCTTTACCTTTACTGGGAAGACGTACTAAGACCACGCTGGGGAATTCGGCCGCTTTACCTAGTCGTGCTTAACATCTATATATATCCTAGCCATGACTGTGAAAGACAACATGTATGAATTACCATTTATACCTTGTTCCCGTCTGTTCTAAATGCCCGAATGGAGAGAAAAAATACGCAAAGAACACAATCACAAATAGGTGCAGGGATTATTCTCATGCCAAAGATTTACAAAATAAAAGAGTGATAGAAGACGGCGAAAGTGAAATATGGCGGGAGTTTCGGAGTGACGTGATTTAAGTTTTCAATGAACAGTTAAATTCTTATCTCCAACTTTAGTGTATCATAAATACCAACACTCTATATCATTAAATCCTTTCTAATCACGTTCTCAAGGATTTCCGAAAGTCCCCGCAATCTTGTTAAGCCAATTTTAATTCATCATTTTATCTGTTTCGAGTGGATTTCATCATTGTGATATTATGCATGTGTACATGTTATGTAATCTGAGAGACGACAAGGCTTGACAATCCCAACTGTTGAATGCTGTGACGAAAATTAAGAAGTTTCATACTCCGGTGTCGTGTTGGCTGTATGCTCCTCCGAGAGTGAGGTCGTTTCAGTGTTAAAGATACGCATACACGTTAAGACAAATGTTCAATATATCGTAGTTATGTCTTGTAGTAATAAAAAAGACAATAAAAAACATTACAACCGTAGTCCGCTTCCCATTGCTTTGTACAGGTGACATTCGTCCCATATATTTATTCCAATACTCCGACTAACCCTAACTTGTACTAATCATATTGGGACCCTGGACTTCCATTCCTCAGACTAGCATTCCTGTCACAACTGCCTCTATTATAAGTATGCCCTTGCTGTTTCCCGCACCGATACATGTAAGAAATGTGCTTACACTGTCAACATACATATGAAACTCAGGGTACTTTTAACAAAGTAATGATAAGTGTCCATAATATTTTCCTCGCGAACCAAATGCACGAGAGAGAGAGAGAGAGAGAGAGAGAGAGAGAGAGAGAGAGAGAGCATCGTCATTCGACCCACGTCAACGAATTATTTGTTGAGCGGAGATACGCACGTGCCAGCGCCTAAATATTTCTCTCTACGAGTTAACAAAACATCTCGTGATCTTCTTAATACAGACACATCTTTTATTAATGAGACTGTCGTCCGCATACAAGACCCTCTTTGTAGGTCATATATAATGCCTGTTAAATGTGTCAGCATGCTACTTAATTTGTATCACGCCACATCTTAGCTTCTTAGACCCATATATAATCAGTAAACAAGACACCAAAGCTGGTACTCAATTCACACAACTTCTGTGCAAAATATGTATGTGGCAAAAATCTTAATTGGTATCAAATATTGCATTTATTTTCTTTAAATAATCTTTCTGACTGACATTTGGCTGAATAAAACAGCAATAGTTCACAAAAAATGTGGCCAATTTTTTTTAGTGCTGCCATCTATCTAAAAGGTTTCCATGACACTGCTGCCACCTATACATTAATCTGCCTTTTTGGACTTCTTGACGCTGCCAGCTGTCCCAGCACCAGACTTCCTTTTGTTTTTCTTATCACTCAAATCTTTCCCTGCAGGAGTGTATTTCGTGGGCTTCTTCTGAGATATGGGAGTTTTGACAGGAGTCATTTCCAGCTTTGGTGATTCAGCAGACTGTTTCATTTTCTTTTGTTGTCCTTTTGCATCTGGACTTTTAACTGTTTCTGTCACAACTGGCGCTGTAACTTTGGGTGATTTGCCCTTTGTCTCGACTTTATCAGCTTTATTTTTTTTACTTTTAGCCTGTGAAGATTTCACTTTTCTATCGGGAACCTCAATATTAGTTACTTTCTTTTCCTTTCTGTCCTTCTTTTTGCCAAGTCCATTCATCTTAGGAGCTGCGCTCTCAACTGATTTCTTATTAGTTACATTTTTGTCAACTTTCTTGGTCCCAGCAGTTTGAGCTTGGTCTTGTTCGCTTTTCTTTTTTACATTCTGTTTATCATTCTTGCCAACTTTACTCGAAGCACCTGTTGGTTTCGTACTCTTAACACTTTCTGATGCTTTCTTTTTCTTTTTTCCAACTGGTACATTTTCAGTTTCACTTTCATCCTCCTCCTCCTCTTCACCATGATCACTCTCTTCATCCTCTTCCTCGTCTTCATCCTCCTCCTCCTCTTCACCATGATCACTCTCTTCGTCCTCCTCATTATCATCATGGTCTACCTCCATCTCTTCCTCATCCTCCTCATTTTCCTCTTCCTCTTCATCATCCTTTTTATCTTCTGAAATTTCAGAGAAGAACTTTTTAAAAAGTCCAGAGGATCTGATATCAAATTTACGATTCATATTACGCACACATGTATATAGATGTACATGTATATCTGTGCACATTTGTGTGAATATGATAGTATAAAATCATGCTTAAATTTACAAAAGATGTCAGCACTACAAGACAAGCTCTTACCAAATACAGGTTTCTTGTTCGAGAACTTCTTTAGCTTGGCCACAAAGAACCCATCCAAGTTATGGGTGTGTGGGTAGAAGCGACGGGTTAATTTCATGGTGGGGTGAAACCGATGTTGTTTGAATCTGCAAAGAACGAAATAAAAACAGAAATAAATATCTATGTTGTTTGGCATTTCAAAAATACTACATTCATGAGCCCTAGTAAAGAAAACCACCCCTTCATTTTTAGATTTATAACCAATTATTGCATATAAGGGAAAATTGCCATTTACAAATATCCAAATAAATTTATCTATTCTGCTTGCACTTACTGTGTAAATCCTTCTCTACCAAAGTCCAGACCAGTGGGGACCAGCTTGACGTTCCTCTTCTTCAGGGCGAAGTCAATCACCCACTCATTCTCTTCCACCTGCAAGGCAACAATGGCTATCAATATTCTGATGAAATTTGATCTGTGTGTAGTAGTGTTACTTATAAAGACAGACTACATGTGTGTCTCCTTTCGAGTACCTAATAAGCTCTTCAGCCCAGTTCCTATACTCACCAATATGGAGCAGGTAGAGTAGGTGATGTAGCCGCCAGTCTTACTTTTGGCATCGCAGCAGTCAATGGCGGCCAAGATCAGCTGCTTCTGGATGTGCGAACACCGCTGAATGTCCTTCTCATCCTGAAAGGGAAAAAAAAGATAAATTAAATCTTAAATAAAAACAAACAAATTGAAAGGTTTTAAGTCATTAGGGTATGCTTGCGACACAGGCACTACTGTTTACTGTAATGGAAGTTTTAAATTTGGCAGGACCAAGTGGAAAATGGTACAAGGGGCCCTAGTGCTCGGCGTATGGTGTATGGCGTTGAAGGGCCCTAGAACCTCAATAGGTTAATATTATATAGTGGCCCTCTAGGAGTTTCTGTAGCAGTGTTTGTAAAGGGGTCATTGTTGGGGCCAAAGTGGTACATGATATATCAGGCTTATTATATATATTGTTGGGGCCAAGGTGGTACATGATATATCAGGCTTATTATATATATTGTTGGGGCCAAGGTGATACATGATATATCAAGCTTATTTCTAGTTATGGCAGTAGAAGTCCTATTACTCATATATATGTCTGTGTCGGCCTATTGTCACTACCATTTCAGACATAGTGCCAAGCCTTACCTTGCTGGCTTTGACAGCTGGGTCCTTCGCGATGACTCCCGTGCCACTACAAGGGGCGTCAAGGAGAACCCTGTCAAAGCCTGTGATGATCTGGAAAAAAAAATAGTAAGCTTTGAAATCATCCTGTGAACTTCATGACTTTGTACAATCTCTTTAAAATTCCTACATGAAAATTTCTTTTGAGAAAATATCAGTAAGAAAATGGTATATTTTGACGAGAGAGAGAGAGAGAGAGAGAGTTGGTCAGTTTACCTCTGGGAACTTCCTTCCGTCATGGGTGCAGACTATGGTATTGGAGATACCCATTCTGTGTATGTTCCCTACGATGGCTTTTGCCCTCTCCGCACTGGGGTCATTGGCAAATAATGTGCCTGTGTTTTTCATTAGGGCAGCTACAATACAGAAAACAGAGAAAAATCATTGCTAAATTCCTGTCTAGAGAACTTACATATTTCCAGTAATCACTTTATTATGATTGCTGGAACTCTATCTTGAACATTTGAACCAACGTTTGCTGCCAGGGTTACTTAGATGATGACGGATACTTGATCTTACATTATGAAACAAGAGGTCACAACGTTTCTTATTATACAAGGCATTCTTCAGTGTTCACCTCAAAACGTGAGAACCAGTATGAGAGATAATTTCTTTTCCATCATTATCCTAGACAAAACAACTGGGTAAATCTAAAAATTCATTTTGATATAAATAAAGGCTGCTTGTATGACACAGTTTTGCTTTCTCTTCTAGTTGTTTTTATTCACAGTTACCTATATATGTAGTCTTTCCTCCTGGTGCAGCAGCCATGTCCAGTACGCGCTCGTTAACTTGTGGCGCCAGCGCCATGACAGGCAGAAAACTGGACGCTCCCTGGATCATGTAGTGACCAGCAAGATACTCTGGGGTTGCTCCTGACGTAAATAAGTTACAAACAGATTTTTAAAAAAGACTATTTGGCCCTCAAAACCCAGTCTGCCTTTTAAAATAACAAGGTTAAACTTTGTACTTATCTCTAGAAAAAAAGAAATAGAGATACATAACAATAAGCAAGCCAAACACTTCCAAAATCTTCCAGATCTTTAAAAATTGCAGACTTTTTCCAACATAAACCTAAAATCTCCCAAAGCCTGTACAAACGTACCTACGGGCACCTGAGAGTCGTAGACTACGAGGCCCACCTTAGACCACTTTCCTACAGGGTCCAGATTCATCCCACGATTGATTAGTGCCTGAGAAAAAGATATAAAAATAGTACCGCAATGCTACTACTGAAACAAATAATTTATCCATTTCAATCATGGCATTATGATAATAGCATTTGAAAAATACCTGATGCAACTAGATGGAAAGAATAGTTGACCAGTGTGACAGAGTTTGTCTCTTTAACAAAACTGCATAACATATAATTGGCCATGTCACATCAGCTGGTACAAGAATGCAAATGTTACGGTTTTTTACCTGTGCCAGGTCGCGTCTTCGTGTCTTCAGTGTATTACATCGTATGGTGACAGGTCTCTGCACTTCATTGGCCTCCAGGAATTCTATTATCTGTGGAAATAAAACAAAATTACATGATGCTTTTTCCATTACCAGTTCTGACTAAACATCTAGGATGCACAAACAGCCTTATTAGATTTCGAGAGAATTTTTCTTTTTACACTGCTTACTATTTAAATCATGCAGTACAAAAGGAAAGCACTCACTAACTCTAAATGGTGACAATCAGGATTTGCAAGAGAACAATTATCTGTAGAAATACAGGGCTATCTGAGACACAGTAAATAAAATATATCAACCAAATGTGTCAGTTGACTGGTTGAGATCACAACACAATCCAACCTCACATGACTGCAAGTGAATGTGTTAGTTAATACTGGTTGAGAAAACAACACAATTGTACCTCGTGTGGAAACAAGTCTAGCAATTTTTCCATAAGGAATGTATTGTAACTGTAATACAGGCAAAGATCTCGGATCAACTGTTCCACATACTCCTTCCTCGTCCTGAAAAAAATAAAGAAAAATGTGCATGAATACTTCAACATAAGCTACTATTTAATAGAGAGACTACTTTTTTCATCTTTTAAATGCCCAACTGGCAAAATACAAACAGATCTTTATTTTATTTGGCTATTTAAGGTGGAGCCTATATTTTATAATTATGTCAGAAAATTGTACAAAGAAAGTAGGTATTAGTAAGGGGTCAGCCTTAACTTACCTTCCTTCCTCTCTCCGTGCCTTGAAGTCTCCAAGGACCTGCAGAATGTCCTTCATTCTCTGCTGTACCAGAGCCAGGTCTGGGGGCTGGACAGGTGGGGACAGTTAAAGATGCATACAAAGTGAATTTTTTGTCACAAAAACCAACTAAATGCCAGCATATAGTTTTAAGTAGCATAACTAAGAGAATTACCAAAAGGCATTGTTTAATTTTACCCGAAAATGATGTTTGAACAGATTTTTCTGCTGGCATTCTAAGCTGTATGTCAATGGGGCAGGAAAGTAGGTCACGGAAATAGGTTAAATTTACAACCATAAATTTAAAGAAAGGAGCAGTCTGAAGGTCTTTTATGAATGATCGAGTCATCTATTCAGTTTTTCCCTTGGCATGTCGAATTTATTTGAGTCATATAAGAATCTAGTAGAAGTGTGTTACTGGGAATCCACACTCCACCGATGCTCGGTTCGTATGTACCTTTAAGGATCATATCTATTGGGTAAAATTCATATTGAATTTATTTATAAAATTTTGATATTAAGTTTTTTGAGTGAACTCTGCCCCCAAATCATCTAGACAAAAGGATATCTTCCTTCTCTACTTCCTGTCCACTTGGAAGCGTGAACACGTCCGTTCGGGCGATGTTGGTCTGGAGCTCTTCCTCTGCCATTTTTCTCTCTTTCTCTTGCTTTTTTTTCAGCTTCTTTGCAGCTTTCTCTACAGGTAGCTCCTATAAATTAAGGCAATCATGTTACCATATGTAGCAAATAATTAATCCGACCTCTTTACATTTACCAGAATATTGTGTGTAAGGAGATAGACAAAATATTATTTTTTCTATTTAATTTTCATGAGTGCTTTTTTTCAGTGTGGCTTTCCAGAATTACTTTCCATTTTCTCCCCTCCCTATTCTAAATTAGTAAAGTGCATTTCAATGCTGCATCTACAGGCCTTCCCAACTACCAGACTCGGCACCTACGGGTCCAGAATAAACCGGTATATCTGACCACACTACCCGTTTTCAAGGTGTGTGTCAGATCGCATAAAAGAGTATCATACCCTATCACAAATTCTGTAAGCCTATCTGTCATCCGGGTATCGCGCCTCGTTTTCGTCAAGTAGGAGTCGCATGAATACAACAGACGACTCCCTCAATCAGGGGGTGGAAACGCGCTACTTATATGATTAAGACGAGCCTAGCCGTCAGTACCGGTTATTGTTTTGTGACCTTGAGGAGCAATTAGGTTTGGTCGTTGCGGCACGCATCAACAGTAGTTGAACTACCACACCTGGGTCTTTTGTTTTTGACAACTGTTCACTCGAGGCGCTTGTTCAAGACTACAGGCTGATATCTACTAGTACTACCAGTGGCTTCATTAGTAACGTTCCCACAATACTTAAGTTTTCTGTCCGTGCGTACAAACCCTGAAAAAGGACAGCCTCGCTGACGAGAACAATGGACGTTTCTCACCCCTCTCTAGGAATACCCCTGCCCTCAATCTCGTCCATCCTGGTAGTCACGAAAATATTTAACCCCCGACAGAATATGCTTCTGCTATCAAAATTAGGTCTACTTTTCTAAATTAATATATAAGTTTGCAAGTTCTTATTTACAAAACATCAATGGCTATGTCCGAACCTAAATTGTATGTTAAAAATTGCGGTACTGTCAGATTTTAGCATAAACAGAGAAAATTGCAGCAGCGCATGAATCTAGATGAGATGCACTACTTTCCAACCCCGCTTAGGATCATTGCTATCACATCGCGCACCAGGCAAAATCGGTGTGGTGGCTGATACTCTGTAATGCGATCTGACACACACCTTGAAAACGGGTAGTGTGGTCTGATAAACCGGTTTATACTGGACCCGTAGGTGCCGAGTCTGGTAGTTGGGAAGGCCTGATCTACTAATGGCACAAAAGAGGCAGTTTAAGAAATTGCTTTTGAACAGACTGAGAAAGGGATCATTAAAATCATGTCAAAAGAGCTATATGAAAAAATATCAACACAGTGGTATGTAATAATGTATTTAATTGTTTCATTTGTTCATATATTTCTTACTGAACTATACCTCTTCTTCTTCATCATCATCATCATCACTTTCAGCTTCACCAAAATCATCTGCTGGTATTTCAGCATCACTGTCATCTTCTTCTTCTTCATCCTCTCTACTTTCCTCTTCCTCATCTTCATCACTCCCTGCCTTCTCAGCCTCCATTTCAAACAGGTCGGACTGTTCACAATAAAAAAAAGATTACGTTAACGCTGGTTGGATGAGTTTATGCTTCACAAAGTTAACAAGTAGAGAACCAGTTACAAGGGCCATTCAGAATGAAATCTGTTGATCCAGCTAATGCCCTCACTGATCCCATGGGGACTCTTGCTGAATGCCACCAGATTTACAGGTAACCGACTCCTCTTGGTTTCTAACATACGTGAATTATTGTATTGTACTCAACACAGAGATTTTTTTTGAAGTTACTTTTTTATGTTCAACTTGGTGAGTGGCAAGTATATATAATGAATAAATAAATAAATTTATTAAGTCTGTGCTGCAACTTGATTTGGCAAAAAAATCTCTCACATTAAAAGACAAATCCCCAAATCAGCACTCACCCCTTCTAGCTCCTCATCCTCTCTTCCATCCTCATTTTCTTCATCCTCCCCTTCTTCCTCCTCTTCTTCATCTTCATCTTCCTCACTATCCACAGGCAACTTTTTCTTTTTGACTGGCTTCAGCCACTTGCTGTTCTCGTCTGTGAATGCCTGCACCTCCTCTGGAATTAAAGTGACATTGCACAGAGTTTAAGAGATGGATCATTAAATATTAGCAGTCTTTAATCAGTTTTCTTACACTTTTAATCAAAGTACATGCTTAATAAGAAGTAAAACCGCTGTACAAAAGCAAACTTTATTATTATTATTATTATTATTATTACTATATATGCAGTGGCAGTTATAACTACAACAACTGATAAATAAATAGTTTTAAAATCTGGACTAAAGCTTTAAAATACTAAAAATACACTTGCAATAAAAAAAAAAAAATGAGCTCCAACTCACCACTGTCAGCGCTACCTTCACTCTCCCCATCGCTTCCCTGCAGCTGTTCTCTCTTCTTCTTTAATTCTGTGGCTTTAACAGCTTCCTTTAGTGCCTCCTCTTTCTTAGCCAGTCTCTTCTTCAACCGTTTCTTAGCACGGCTACCCAGAGCTTTCTGCTTGGCTTCACTGACTGAAAGTAATGGTAATGGTAAAAGTAGTTGTAGAAGTGGTAAAAATCGCCACAGTAACATATATTTGGTGTTACACCAACGTTACAACTTCTGCTGTTAGTGTCACTAGTAATATTTTACGTGCCGACAAGTTTACCTTCCTTCCGCAGCTGTCTTGGTAACTCTGGTGGTTTCTGTTTCTTCGCTTTCCGCCCAGGGCCCTTTTTGGGCCTTTCGGTGTCTAAAGCACGCTTTCTACCCATTGGGTAATTTGCTAAACGTGGCTAACAGAGATTCAACACCGTCACCCAGTTCGTAGCACTTCCATGTGCTAATACCGGAAGCACATGTGAGATACTACCCTGTACGCATGCGCATTCTTGAAATCGGCTAGGTGTGACACATTTTGTCTCACCAACTGCAACGAAATGGAAACGACAAGGGGTGGGCATCTAATGCGAGCATCTCAGGCGCAGATTGAGGCCGTCTTCTGGGTTTTCCCGAAGACGGTTATATTTTCATTCTACATTGACAGGTATCTAATTTTTTTCTGTCGGAAGACGGTCAAAAATGGAGGATAGATCAACAAAAAAATTTGGAAGACTGTCAGGTAATAGGGCCTATATCTGGATCCGCCCCAGCATCTGACATTTGTCTGTCTGTCTGTCTGTTTCTTTTGTGCCATTTAGGCCCCGTTAAGTTAAAAAAAAGCATTATACTGTCTCACACTGTACTAAAATGTATCATCCATTATAGGCCCTACAGTGTGCGTGACAAGAGTACTTATCTACATAAGCAAATTCCCTGAAAGCCTTTATTTCCATTCTATCTCAGCTGCCTTGTGTAGGGCCTACCTGTTGTCATGAGCGAAATTTGTTAAACCTGTATCATTCAACTGAAAGCCACATACCTGTACGAGTAGAGGTCGCATTTTAGTAACAAGATATATCGCTGTTTTTTCTGCGCTTCTAGAAGTCAGATAAAATCATAAAATGGGCTTACTTACGGGGCATCATTTTAAAATTAAGACTGCAGCCATCTTTGAGAATTTCATGACAAGTTTTTTAGTGTTTGAGCAGTAAGAAAAAGAAACTACACACAATGGACAAAAGAAGTGTCACCCCTACTGAACCAATACTTTGGGGGAGATAAATGATTGTGGAATGATATGCTCCTGGTATCATTTTATTAACATCAAATTTCACAAAAATACCAACAATACGATTCCATGGTACAGCGGTTTTATACTCATTAGTCGCATTATAAGTAGACCATGCAGGCATTATAACTTTGATTACTCTGATACATGGGGTGACACTTCTATTGACCAGTGTGTGTACTTATCTGTGAGCTGCCTTAGAAAAATTTTAATTTTTTCCTGCTCACCCTATATCTAAATCTACCACAGTTAAATAAAAAAGCTCATCCATTCATTCCTATAAAATTAAATTCTCAATGTGACCCCTTCAGAATGACGAAACCACGACTAGTGAGTTTTAAGTCAACAGGAGGTTGCATATTCAGCGTGTTGGCATAGCAACGTACAGTAACAGTACCTGACATGCATTCATACATGTAAATTACGTCAAGAAGTCATTCAGTGGTTGGTGGGAGGCTAGAAGAATTGATAATTTAGTTGACGAGGGGCGCTTTTCTGTAAACAGGGTCAATAGACTTTTTTAACCTTTGAACCAAAATGTTTAGCTAGCACAGAAGATGATTATTAGGACCGGTAGTTATTTTGTCATTTATTTATTAATTTAATAATTTATTTATTTATTTCAAGGAGTGAATGTTTAAGTCACGGTGTTTTTTTAAAATCATTTTTTGTTTCATAAACCCCAAATGAGGGTCGGGCGTACCCGTTAAACAAACTGTCAATTTTGGCAGCCTTTGCGGTATTATTTTAGGGTCACCTTCAGACATTACCAGGTTAGGAGAAAAATCTAAGGGTAAGTCTTAACAAAACTTCAGATGTTGCCTTAAAATATAAATCGCATTATATTGCTCACACTTTTTCATCTGCGGTTGTTACTGATTTTAAAGTTGGGACGTTTGCACGCAACATTATTTCGCTTTCGTTTTTCATGTCGCATTAAACAGCGGTTAACTAAGAGCTGCAAGGGACTTGTGCATAACATTGCTCAGTATGTAATGTCGTCAGTTCACTCCAGCTAAAAAACAAAAAGAAAAGAAAAAAAAACACTAGTAGGTATTTAACTTGGACATCCCCATAACTGATTGGGATTGATTTTCCACAGATATTCACAGTTATTGTCTCTATTAAATCAAGGAGTTATAACAGAAGGAGATTACACGCGTGGGGGCGGAGCCCGTATTACGGTCTCTCATTGGTCGGAATGAATAGAACCCAGAGAACAATAGATGCCTATCTCTGTTACGCTTAATTGCTACTCTCGTTTAAATCTCGTTTGTTAGTATCTGTGCCTTCGTCTGTTGATTTTTGAGGACAGACACAGAAACGGAGTCCTAAGTTTCTAAAAAATGAGAGAAATACAGAATTTATATGATATTACGTTGGACAAGGTTTTCAAAAAACAGGTAAGTGCTTTTAAATGCATAACTACACGAAATATGAAGATAAATTGCAACTTTTATGTCGTAGGGTCTCACTGTGTAAGTGTCCAGCTACACGTTGATCTCGCGAGGTGGTGTGTGGAGAATAAATATTGCACGAAAAATATTTCCCACTCATAACAAGTGCCTATAAATATAGTATCAGATGAAGAAAGTTTGGTCTTTATACAGTTGCAATTGTTAAGTAATTTGTGGCAATAGCAAAGAATAAAACTTAGGTGCACTTTCAGTAGCCGAATAACAAGCAGATGCTTAAGCCGCCATCTTGTTAATATTT